CAGTCCAGCATACTGGTGTTGGCGGATTCGATAGCAAATATTTTATTCAAGCGCACTAAATCGGTTATAAACCGGTTCTCGGTCCATCCGGTCGGACTGTGTCTAACCCGGTTTAATTTATAAATAATGCGTAAATCATGATTATTGTTATTTATTTATTTAATTTATAATACAATCAAAATATTATTTTCCCGTGCATCGCACGGGCCACGTACTAGTATATATAAAGAGACAACATATTTACCAAAAATAGTAACAAGAAAAAGTCAACAACCAATCTAATGCATTCTATTTCCGGCAGTTTTTCAAATTTCTTGCCCAAAAAATCGGACCACCATAAATGCACCCGAAATTCTGTCAGTTTTTAATTTTTCTTTAATTAATTGCCATAAAATCTGTCAGCCTTAAAAGCACCCTAAATTGATGGGTTTTTTGAATTTATATTCAAGAATTTCGGCTAATGTTTATGTTTTTGTTGAATTCAAATTTCTTTCTCATTATTTATTATAGAAAAAATCTGAATACATACAAAATCATTTATCATTTCGAATTTCAAAGTTAAATATTAAAATTACTTCTCATTTGGTCACTATAAAAATCTAATCTATTATATATGAAATCTGCCTTTCCCTAATTGCAACATGATTTTGAATTATACATCAAATATGATTTTTCAAATGTCAAATTTTATTATTTAAAATCTCAAATATGATTTCCTAATGCAACACGAATAAATCTAATTTCTATTCATTTTCAAGTTCTTTTCCTTTCAAATAGATTATGATAAAAACACGTACAATCCTATTTTCATTCAACTAGATTAATCTAAATAAGAGTTTGCTATGACGAAAACTCTATAAATCTTCTAAATCCTACTAGATATACACTAAAACTTAAAACCTAACAGAAAATTTTCTTTTATTTGTTTCCTCTAATAAATTCAGTACCTCAAAACATGCATGTTTTATGTTATATTCAAAAAGATAATTATTATTTAATATTGTTTACTCACTCATTAATTTTATAATAATTATTTAATATAGTTCACCCGTGCATCGCACGGGCTACGCAATGTGTTCATACAATCATAATCAAATCAAGTGATTAAAAATAACAACGTACAAACAAAGTAGTTTAATGAGATTACTTGGAAAGAATGTTCATGCTTGAATGATCCTAAGAGTTCAAGATGTTCCTACAATAAAATATAACATGATTTAATAGTTGGCTCAACTCAAAATATAGAAATTATTGTAATACAATAGTTTTAATATAAATGTGGTGAAAGGTAAATAAGTGGAATAAAAAGGATAGGGCCCAATACTCAACGCTCTCCCAATGCCCATAGAGAAAAGGGAAATTTTCATGTATACTTACTGATTTTTAGATAATTGCAATATTACTATCCATACCAATTAAATTGTGTATATACCTAAAAGATAAATATTAATTATAATCATGCCTAAAATCAGTTACAAGGTAAGTGGAACAACCTTCCATGTTCATAATCATGCCTAAAATCAGTTACAAGGTAAGTGGAACAACCTTCCATGTTCCTAGCGCGTAATTTCAGGAAATCAGGCAAAGAGTACGAAATTTCACGAAATCTTCATCGCCTATATATATTGCTTTAACATATACTGCAAATATACTGTGCATATACCCGTCGAACGTCTTCCTGTTAATGTCATGAGAAAATATACCGAGAATATACTGATAATGTACCGTCGAACGTAAAATCAACTGAACACAAACAAAATGATACAAATAAGCAATTCTCATTCCTCCCAAAAGACTAATAATATACTGAAGAAAATCAATCCGACCGAAACAAACATTCGTCAACAAAAAAATTTGCTAATATACTAAACATAAGCTTATTTTTTGGCAGGGACGCGGGTCATATACTGTACATATACTGCATATATACTGCATATATACTCAGAAAAAATAAATTAAAAATATATATTAGAAATGGTAGCAGCAGAAAGGGAAGAAGGCGCAGAGCGTGGAGACCAACACGACGGCCTCGAAAAGCCAAGACGATCTTGAAGAGTACCCCATCGACGAATCACAAGTGCAAATTTGAGCGAGATGTATCTCTCATCGCGGATGTTTGAGCGAGATGGAGGCGGATGCGGCGGCGGAAGGGGGATTGGAGGAGGTGGCTGACTTGTGTGAAGGGGGATTGGAGGAGTCGACTGATTCAGTCGAAGCGACGGGTTCGATTGATGCTATTCGTCTTGGAAGGGGGATCGGAGGAGTCGACTGCTTCGATTGATGCTATTGGCGCGGACGATGAGGTGGTGGTGGCGCCGACGGTGGAGGGACTTGTGTGAAGAAAAGAGGGATAGGGTCGTGTGTGAAGAAGAGAGAGAGGGATAGGAGAGAGACGTAGTTGATGGGAAATTACCATTTAATAGGAAATCAGTTGATGAAAAGTTATCATGTAAATAGGGAATCATCTTTTTAGGCATATGTGCAAATAAAATTAACAAAATTAGCTAATTTACAAATAATTACGTGGGGAATGTAATTATATAATATTTTCAAATTGTTTAAGTGGAGAGTGTAAATTCCTCTAGAAAAATAGTGTATAAGCCCACTCACTTTTGTGATACAACCCAATGGTTATTTTATCATTTGCCCAAAATTTGCCTCTTTGTTTAGACCCATATGTCTCAGCCCAAACTCTTCACTTGGCCCATTTTAGTTTTCCTTGTCTTACCCAAACACCATTTCACACCCAACTAAATTTTCTACTGATCCATTTAGCCCACAAAATCCTCTCCTCCCTTATTAAACTATTGACCACTCACCGAACCATCTCTTTCAATCTATTAATATATAAAGAGACAACCTAAATAATTTAAAAATAGTAACTAAAAAATCATCTAAATTTCCACCTAAATATATTACTAAATATAGTAAATTATTTTGAAATTTTTCAAAAATTCCGGCCAAACATATTTGTAATTTTTGTTGTAAAAGTTTTAAATACAAACATTTTAAGAAAAGATTCATCTTTATCTTAACTTCCTAATCTTTAGCTAACTTCCATATAAAGTTAGGTTTATGTGGGACTAGCTGAGTGCCATATCACCATGGTCAACGAAACTTTTTGGTTACAATACATTATATCAAGTTTAATTGGATATACAATAAAGTGAATTAATTTATTTAAAAAAAAATTGATTGAATTTGGTTTGGGTTGAATTTTGAGTTTGGATTAAAATAATATTTAAAATATAATTACTAAAGTTGATTTATAAAAATAAGAGATAAGTGATTAAAGTGAATGAAATTTGGATGGATGAATAGTGAATTAGAATTAATGTAGTGAGGATAATTAATTGATATCATTTAGTTATATTGATAATATTGATAATAGTTTAGTTAAATTAAATTTAATTTAAAGTTAAAATTATATGATCAGTAATAATTGAATATTTCATATCCAATCAGTCCTTCAATGTCTTACAGTTATACGAGAACTTTGATGGAAAAAAAAAAACTTTTTTCAAATCATACGTATAAACAATATAATAATTACATTGCACATGCAAAACTTAACTATAACATGTAGTGTAAACTAATATTTAAATATACATATTAACCACAATTATATCGTTTTAGAACAAAATGATTATGTTATTTTATAACACTAATATATTATTCGGGTATTACACATGTACATAAATATATTAATATTTATACAATAAAAATTTAAATAATTTACATTTTTACTGTGAAATTATGTATGATGAATATGAAACAATAATAAATAACTAACAAATTGATAATTAATTCAATGCGTGCCAATATTTTTACATTAAATTTTTACAAAAACATATTTTTAATTATACTCTTAAATATATATGTATAAAAATTGATATTATTTACAAATTCATATATTTGATTTTTTTTAAATTAAAACAAAGTATATTATATTGTGGTTATATTTATATTTATATTTATAAAGTCAGTGTCACACATTTATTAATTTTCAAGTATTTTAAATTCATATAATTAGTAATTTAGTTTACGTAGAAATGTATTATTTTCTAACTTTATGAAATACAAAATTATTTTATTATATTTAATTATGATATTCTTTTATATTTACTATTTTAAATAATATAATATATTTAAATTGAGAAATAATATTCTATAATATTTCTTAAAATTTATTTTATATAATTTATCCAAAATATATGAGAAAACTTTAAAATGATTATTTTATGGTGTATTAATGAATTAAATTGTTATTATCTATTATTATATAAAGAGACAACCCAAAAAATCCTGAATTAGTAACTAAAAAATATTAGGATTCCCGTTTAAATATTTACTAAACATAGTAATCTTTTTTGAACATTTTGGAAATATCCCGCCTAAATGTATTTTTGAAATTTTTTTAAAAATTAATTCAAACATTTAAATGAAAAGACCACACACAGATAAATCTGGGTACATTCACTTCTTATCTTAACTTCTATATAATCACATTTCTAAAACACACACACACATCTCCATCTTATCTTAATTTTAGAAATATCCCACCGGGTCTTTATATATATAATACACCCACACCCACACACACACACACACACATACATATATATATATATATATTTTTAATTATTACGTGATATGATAAATTATAAAAATTGAATAGAATGCATATATGACACAATATTTATTTTAAATTTGTCTGTATATTTTAAAATAATATTTAATGTACATTAAATATTTATCATTATATATAAAAAAGAATACCACTTTTATAAGTGTTATAAATAATACGACAATATATTTTAAAATAAAATAATATTTAATTTTTATGATGACAAAAAATATATAAAAATTATTATTTTATTTTTGTATTAACACTTAAATATATGTGTTCAAAAATTACTTACATTAATATAAGTGAGTCAACAAACTAATATATTGTTAAAATAAAAATTTTTAAAAAAACATTTTAAGGTACAAACCCGTTCTAAACCCGCACGGGACCCTTACTAGGGTCAACATCAATAATAATCATTTTCTTCTACTTTCCTAACGTCACCCGACGTGACGACCGACGGCACGCGACTGCGCCTATGAACCTAGAAACCGGTGGGACATGTGCGTTGGCATTGTCGACGAACGAGGCAATGGCCGGCGAACAGATCGACGACACGGAGATGTACATGGTTCGGCTGGACGGTGGTGCCGAACGACTGACCGAGCCTCGGCTATGTGACAAATTGCGGCGCCTAATACTTTCGGGTGAGTGCTCAGTTTTTAGATTACGGTTGAAGGCTGCTAATCAGATGTTAGAAAGATAGGCAGCCGTTAGCGGAGGGCTGCTTCCAATCAATTTAAGCTACGTAGTTGCTTAATTAGGCTGATTTATGATAAGGCAGTGATGGCTAATCAGACTATGGCCTGACAATTGTATCTAATATAATTGTGGGTCAAAATTGATTTGGGTATAGTTGCTTTTGTGTAGTAATGGCTTGATGCCCGGTTGTTTGGATAATCGAACAAAGGGTGCTGTTTGTTGGTTCTTAGACCATATATGAATAACTTGTGAAAACTGTGTTCATGTTGCGAAAGATTACGGAAGGTTGTAGGAGGGTAAGATGATGGGTGCAGGAAGAAGAATTTGGCTAAGTAGAGAAAATCTGCATATATGTAGGTAAAATAGGATTGAAAATATTGTCCAAGTTCAACATACTCTTTTCTACTTTTCCCAATGGGTTGGATTCACAACTAAAAGCACAATACTTATACTTCATTGTTGTATAACTATTTTATAAATTGTTGACTCATATAATAAACTCGTAAACGAGAAATACATTTTGTGCCTAATTTTATATTCTAAATACATTAATATTATTATTGGCCTTTTAATAATACGTACCACAAAATAATTCGTATAAATAATACTATGTCCAAAGTATTTTAAAAGATTGATAATTACTTTACTCAGCCCAACATTAATTTTGTAAACATTTGAAATAACATATAATCCCTGATAGTAATAAACTAGCATATAATAATAATGATAATAATAATTGATAAAGTTCATAAAAATATAACTAAAATAATAGGGACTTACATAAAACATATGAGGTACATGGATCAAATTTTTGTATCAACCAATATAACACCATTATAAAATGTGAAGTGTGACTGTTGAGGTACAAATACCTGATATTATGTGTGAGGCTTATTGCAGGCAATTACTATAAGCACAAATGGATGGACAAATGGGGGGCATGCCGTGAATCAAATTTACGACCTTCTTTACATGATGGGACGAGATGATATTGCTGTTGGGATAGGAGGTGAAGGTGGAATACTCAATGACGGTACCATACTTCCAAGTGTTGGTGGATATCTTCCTATAGTCGATCAGGTCAGTTTTCTTGTAGCCAATATTGAAATTCCCCATGTCATTTTTTACATATACTAGTTATATCTCACCCACTCCTTTTTCATGCCAAGTAAACAAAAGTAAAACAGTAAAAAAAAAAAAAAAGAACATTGTTGCTGTCATTTTTCTAAGAATCCATAGAAGGAGATGTGTTCATAGTGAAGGCTGCGTGAAAGAACTGTTTAATTACACGGAATACCTGATGTCTATTATATTGGAATATTGTAAGAGAAGTTTCTATTTACAATGACTAAACCATAGGGAAAAAAATCATGTTATACTAATAATGCAATGGTATAATAGCTAATATACCCATACAAGAGGAGCATGGTTGTTAGCCATGTTCATCTGGGTTGAAATGTACTGAAAACGTTGAACACCAAGAGGTTTCGTTAGAATGTCTGCAATCATTTGGTGGGAATAGGTTGAAGTTTAATGAGTCTTTGTGCAATCTTTTCCCTCACTGGATGGTAGTCCATTTGAATATCTGTTGTTCGCTTGAGGAAAACTGGATTGTTACATAAGGGAATGGCAGATTTAAAATCTAAAAGTAGGAGAACATAAGCATTATGAAAAATGTGAAAATCTAAAAAACAAATAAAGCAACCACTGAATATCACAATGAGTGGATACAATAGCCCAATGTTATGCTTGAACTAAACTTTTGGCCAACAGTTAGGTGTCATTTAGTTTTCCAATAATTGGGCGGATTAAGCAAAAAATGGAATAGCCAATTATAATTCTACTTGTGTCACGACAACTGGCCCAGTTACTATTAATATATGTCGTCAAATGGAAAGTAGAGTGTCTTGGGATAGAATATACCGGACACAATAGTGACTTTATATACCTGGGAATCCTAGGAGCTTTGAGATGATCTTGAGTAGGTTTGGACACGAACCAGCTTAGTGTTTGGCATTTTGTATGAAATATCCTGTCTTTGATAGTGATATGTAATAATCTCCCTATTAATTTCTACATGTAGTACCCTTAGCCACTTTATCATTATTAGACTCAATAGAGAATTTGATATTTATGTCTATGGGAGTATTAGTAAGGTTACAATGAAGCTATCATGTATCTAGTAGTATATTCAATGCATATTTTCTTGACAACGAGTGATGCCTTTATGATAATAAACAACTTCTGAACCCATAATATATTTTAAAGTTCCAAGATATTTAATGGTGAATTTATCATCCAAATGACTTAGGATATCATGAATGGCATGTATGTTATTACCCGCTAAGATAATATCATCAACATACAAGCAGTAAAAGAGAAATACGTTTTCATAGTGAATAGAGAATAATCTGAAACATGTTGACAGAAACAATAATTAATCGAGTAGGATGTTAACTTTTGATACCAATGTCCAGAGGCTTGTTTTAAATCATAAATACTTTTTAGCAATTTACAAATTCTACTTTCTAAGGGGCATTGATATCCAAGAGGTGGAGTCATATCCATCTCTATATTGGAATCATCATGAAGGAAAACATTATTAATATCAAGTTGGTGCAAGTGCTAATTTCAAATGGATGCTAGAGCAAGGAGAAACCTAGTACTGGTAATTTTGGCAATAGAGGAAAATGTGTTTCAAAATAATCTATACCTTATTCTTGTGTGTAAGTTGCGATTATTAGTGGATTCAAGTGCTTTAATTTCTTTAGTATAGCTTTTTTCCATAAAGGATCTTTAATAGTCTGTCTATAACTTGTTGGTTCAATGTTAAGGGATATAAAAACAGTGAAACAACTATGATAGGGTGACTTTGGGCAGAATAGATGTACTTTGGGCAGGTAGAAAATGTGTGTTTCTGTCAGTGTTATTGTATGCTTATTTAGTTTGAAGTGATTATAATTGAAAGGATGAGTGATAGAGAAAAAAGGGAGCTGAAGGATTAGAAACATGGATTAAATTATTAGAGCGAAAAGGAAAGACATATTCACAAAAGATAACATTTATGGGAGCTCTAGGATGAAACTTATGATATATACTGGCAAAGTAGAAGAGTAACATAAATAACCATTGATTTTTATATGATCATATGTAGGTGCATTGTTATACAGATTTATATGGAGATTGGTTATTCAGAATATTGGGAGGTAGTCTATTTACAGTATGTGAATCAGACATAATTTAAATCTAGCCAAATATGTTAGGTTAAGGAAACTTGTAAAAGGTGTTCTATGTTTTCTTTCTGTCCTACCACATTGTTGTGGTGATTCAACATAGTTTTCTTGGTGTATTATACCATGTTTAGCGTAAAAATCATGTGATAGAAACTCAGTTCCATAATCAAATCTAATGATTTTTATTTTCTTATTAAACTGAGTGTGCATCACGTTGTGAAAAATCAAAAACTAAATGAGTTTCAATACAATATTTGAACAGAAAAAGTAAAATTCATGTGACCTTAGAGAAGTCATCACGAAAATATCTGTGACCGGGTGTGAAGTTTATTGATGGGCTAGTTATAACATCACAATGAATGAGGTCAAAATATTCAAATGCAATAAAGTTTCTGATAGTAAAATGTAACAGTTTTTGTACATAGGGAAATGTCAAATATCACATGGCATATAATTAGTTATTGAGAATTCAAAGGAACAAAAAGGTATTTGAGCAAGTTTATGATATGAAAGATGCCCTGTGCATTGTTATGACAGATACTAGGGCTAGTTATAACATCAGTAGCAGAAATTTGATAGAATGCAAAATTTGTATCCAAAGTATCTTTAGAAATTCAGACAAGATTAAAGTTAAAATAGTTGGATCTGTTATAACCGTAAACAATTGTGAACTGTTATTCTATAACTTAAATCCTGTGCAAAAAGGAATACATAATTTGTCTAAGTTGTAATGTTTAAAATTTGTACTCTGAAATGGTACTTGGTTAACGGGACCGAAATACAGGTACTGATTTTTTGGAGATTGAGAGGGATGTTAAGAGTGGGATTCAAATAGCAAAAGAAAAATAGATTATACTTCATTAGGGTAGTGAAATGAAAGCGCGAATCAAGCTAAGATTGAGAAATCTCGCTCTAATACATCAAAGAACCATAAAAGGAGATGTATTCACAGAGATATCTATGAGAAGGAATTGTTGAATTACACAGTAAACTTAATGCCTATTTATATTGGACTATTACAAGAGAAGTTGCGATTTACAATGAAAAGAAAATCGGCTTTTACAAGGAAAGAAGTCGTTTGATGGAAACAATGCAACGATATAATAGTTAATATTTGCGCACTAGGCATTCATGCATTTTGATGGAATTGGCAATCTAAGTAGCTTTTGGATTTCTATAGTACAATTTAACCCATGCATTGCCACTTTATGCGGTAATCAAGTAATGTCCGTCTCATTCTTTTTAATCATATGATCAGGGTTATGGTACAACAGGATACTGCAGATATAGTCAAGTTATTCCTTTAGGCCTGCGAGGAAAACTAGACATCGATACAATATATGGTTTCAGAAAACAATTTCTTCCCCAGGTAACAATTTAAATTATATTTTCTTTTTTAAGTTTATATTTTTTGGATACAAAAGAAATGTTAAGTTCCTCTATGAATATAAATAATCTTTTTTTAAGAGTATTAAAAAACACTCAACAACAACAACAACAACAATATACCCAGTATATTCCCAACAGGTTGGAGTCTGGGGGGTTAGTTGTACGCAGACCTTACCCTTGTAATTATACAAGGAGCCTGTTTCCGTAGCGACCCAAGGTGCATTGCGCCGTTTGATATATTTTTTTCTAGAAACTTCACTAATAGAAGAAGCACTAGAATTTAATTGAGCCATTTACCATTGATATAAATTACTCAGCATCAACAACTAATTTACAATGTTCTCCTATCGTTCCGAAAAAAAAAAAATTACAATGACATGTACACTTGGGATTTGGGAGCATCGAAACGATTACGATAATTTTGATTCAGTTCAGAGATTTCTAACTATTTTTCAATAATTTTTTTGCATGACTATCTAATTATATTTAAATTTTATATTTTTTTTTATGAAATTCCGAAATTCATAAAGATATAATCATATTAAAAAATTTAAATTGAAATCAGCTTTAGAAAATTTGAATAACTCATAATTTTAGTTGAGACTAAAGTTGTACAACTAATGGTGAAAATTTAAAATCCAAACAAAATATAATAGTTTTTTTAATTATTTCTGTAATTTTTCATATAATTTTAATTATAAGATATAGTAAGATTAAAAACTTATAAAAAATTGTAATATAAGTAACTTTTTTTCTTTAAAATGTTACTTGTATATAAATAATATTAAGTGTAGAATTTTAGTGAAGTTGAATTATTATCACTATATATGTTATTAAGTATTTTTAATATACTCAATTATATAGGATAAATTATGAATAAGACACATATAATGTTATAATTATGTTCTTCGGTTTAGTATGGTCTGAGATGGTTGAGTTCGATTGTCTGTACATATGTTCATAAAATCTCTAAAACCTTACAGTTTGGTTAGGTAAGGATAAAGTTAAATAGTCAACGGATATTTTTCGATTTTGGAGTGATTTCGGGTCAATTTTCGGAGCGATTCAGCCCAATTCTCATGCTTAAGTTAGGCTAAACAAAATCTCTATGACAGGCAATATTGTAGAAACTTTTCTAACATGCATTCTTGTTAATTGGTTACATTTTTGTTTTCTTTGTCTAATTTTGAAAGCAGGCAAACAGGCAATATTTACCTCTACAACAACCTACAACTCAACAAATAATGATCGACAAAATATCTGCTGGTTCAATCACAGTATTTTGTGGTGGAACACCTACAAATTTGGCATTGTTTCTAATGTCTAACCCACACTTGAAGAAAAACATCGAGCATATATACCTCATGGGTGGTGGCGTGGGACCCAGGCATGTCAATTGTCCTTCTAACTCTATCTCATCATGCCCTACTGGTAATGTGTACACAGGTGACAATACGGCTCCTAATGCAGAGTACAACTTCTTTAGTGACCCTTTCGCTGCTTATCAGGTATAACAATATTTAATATAAATAATAACATAGAAATTCAGTTTTGGTACTTCAGTCGGTAACATGAATCTTAACTTGATTAATTTTGACATTTCATCAGCGGTAAATTTTATTAGTTGGACTTTTCACAAGAAAAAAAAAATGAATTATTAATAAGTATGTCTTGTAAAGCCTCCAACGATACCGATACCATGATAAATAGTTGCGATTGAAATTTTGGAACTTTGAAAAGTAACAAGTGATGAAGTAGTTACTTAAAAGTTAGGTCTTATTGCAGATTCATGATTTTTGCGTTTTGACAATTTATCCAAAGGCACGATTGAGTTTTTGTATTAGAGTTTTGGTTCAAAATCAAATGTCATCTCCAACACAAGCTACTCTCTACCCATTTAGAATAGCAATTTTTTCGGTAAAAAATTATGACTAAATGAGTTATTTACCTAATTTAACATCACAATGAAATTGGTTCATAGTACAGAAATTGCTTTTGAAAATATGGATTGATTTTAGGAAAAGCTTTTGTAAGTAACTTTATAATTTGCGAAAGCATGCATGGTGAATTATGGATATAGTTGACGTAATAATATATTGATATTTGTGAAGTTTTAAGGGTGGCAATCAATTTTTAATGCAACAGGTGATCCACTCAGGGATACCAGTTACTCTTATCCCACTGGACGCAACAGACACTATACCCATCACAACAGAATTTATGCAAGAATTTAAGAAGCAACAGCACACCCTTGAGGCACAATACTGTTTCAATGCCTTGAAAATGATATGTGATACTTGGTACACAACCCCTCATTTTTCTGATGTAAGTGATGGGAACAGAACAACTTTTGTTGTAACTTCATAAATCGATTTTGCTTTTGTCGTAACTTTTAAGTACAAAGTAAAGTAATTTCGAAACAGATTTTCTTCATGTGGGATTCATTTTTGGCCGGGGTGGCTACTTCAATTATGCTCAAGCAAAACAACACAAACGGCGAAAACGAATTTGCAGAAATAGAGTACAAGAATATAACGGTAATTACTTCGAACGAGCCATATGGGACATCCGACGGCTCAAATCCATTCTTTGATGGCCTAAAGAAATCAAGATTCAACTTGATGAGAAACGGTATCCACAGTGGCCACCTTGTGACTGGACCAGGGGATCCATTTTGCATTGCTCGAAATGGGTGCAAGGTTATTGCTTCTTTCTTACTTCAGTTTTTTTATTTTTTTTTTTTTTTTTTTTTTTT